AGATATGAGCCAATTACCGAATAGTGTTCCGGTATGGATTGCACCGACATCTCTTTTCGGAGTTTAGACATCTCTCTTTGTCCTTTCAATTTCAATTCTTAAATTCATCAATCAATCCTTTCATTTATGTGATAGGCCTGCATTAAAAATAGACATTTACCATAAATTATAGGTATCTTATATTATTAGATACATTCTTATAAAACATGTTTTAGTTAAGGAGTTATTGATACTTCAAGTGCAAAATGATGATATAAAACCTTGATAAAAATGCACTTTTAAGTACTAATCAAATAGGCATATTGAAAATAATTTTGTTGTAGCTTGAAATGTTTGAATTTGGTGTAAGTTATGATATTAAGTATTATCATATAATAGGACAAGGGTCTGGATAAATCCTAAAGTTTTAAATACTAGTTTAGAGAGAAAACTTTTGTAACTATAATGGAAGGATCAGAGTGGAAAAATTTATTTTTAATAGTTAAAATATTTTGAAAATTTAGTTTTTTAATATAATCAGATTTTTTTTAAAGCTTTTGAAATAATTCAAATGGAGAATTTGAATTAAAATAAAATGAGGGTTTTTATGAGAAAGAACTTGCCTATGTTTTGGAAATTGGTTCAAAAGTTTTACCTACCTAAGAAGGTTTTTTTTTTTTTTTTCCAATGATGATTTATGACTAATAGTTTGCAACGTAAAAGCAATTATAACGAATTGGATATGGATTTTACCCAATTTTGTATATGTAAAACGCGTTATGCTTCCTTATCTTTAATTACTGCTTCATACTAGGATTTAATTGGTTTTGTAGAAGAAATGGTTGCAGAAAGGGGTTTATAAGGTTTTGTGATCTTGAGATTTTAAAGATTTAGACTTTATCTCTGGATTTGGATTTGGAAGAAATTAGGACATATTTTGGATGAATTATCTAGTTAGGAAATCAGAAATGAAATTTATATCTCCTTTTATATATTCTATATCAAAATAAAAAAAATATTTAATATAACTTGTCTTTGGGAAATTTTTTTTGTTTTGAAGCAATATTTTGACCATCTTTTTGTAAAATTTCTTTAGCAGATTTGCAATTGACATGTAAATTTTTTTTTTGACCATCTTTTTGTAAAATTTCTTTAGCATATTTGCAATTGACATGTAAATTTTTTTTATATATAATAAATTACTTTGAGACTTTGTAATGTATAACACAATGGAAAGAAATTCTTTTTCGATAGTAAAATAGTTCTTTTGACAATCATTACAAAGTATATATGTAAATTGAAGAATTTCTTCTTTGTTTTTTTGTATTTGTTTAAGAATACTCTTATAACTTAATTTAGAAACATTTGTCTAAATTATTTTAGGAGCTAAGAGATTGACAATGTATAAACAAAGAATTTTGTAAATCAGTTTTTTAATTTGTTTAACAATTCTACTATATTCATCAGACCATGGAATAAGGTTCCTTCTCAACCTATAATGAAAGAGTTTTTCTATTCTACTCACATTAGGATAAAAGTTTAGAACATAATTAAGACTTTCTAAAAACCTTTGTAATTGGGTTTTTTTTCTAGAATTTTGTTGGGAAATTTAGTAGCAAATGTAAGGAATCTCTTAATAGGTATAATTGT